TTTGCGAATGTGTTTCTATGTCGATCTTCGTACGCAAATTACTTGACCTCGAATTTCATCTTATTTACTCTATGCAATAATCATTATTGACACTCGAAATCAATTTGTTAGGGATAAAAACAATTTGTTTGTGATAAATCAAAACAAGACGTCAACCATATGTCAACACTAAGACCTGAAATTCTAAGGACATGCTCTCAAGCAGTTTAAGTTAATGTTGCAAGTGCTGCAATACTTAGTAAAAAATCCTAAAAATGTATTTGAAGGACCTATTTTCTAACAGGTCCCACTAATTTAAAGGTTATAAACTACTGGCTCAAATACGAAAATTGAGAAAAAGTTGGTCATTCCATTCAAAATGTCTTTGCTTGTTTGGATGCCTTACATCCCAACATCATTCTACTAGGATATGTTTGCAAAATCAAATATGAAGCCCTTCTAATAAAAAAAGGGAGTTTGAGGCAAAAAAGAAGAAAATTCAGCTACAGGATAAGGTAACGAATTTATCGAAAAAGAAGGCGAAGTCTTAGTAGGGAAAGATGATGGCTGTCTTGCAGGAGGAAGTGATGATGATCTTGCAAAAAAATGAGGCGATGAACTTCCAGGATGAGGAACATGTAACAACCCGAGTCCCACTTAACGAGCTGTCCTAGCCGTTAGCTCGACGACATACTGTCCCCACTGTACCAATATGGGTCCTTTCAGCATGCTTTATCTTCACTCGCACACTCCCCAAGAAAACTTCTCAAGGGGTCACCCATCATAGAATTATTTCAAGCTAAGCACGCTTAACTGTAGAGTTTATAACGATGGACTTCCGGAAAAAGAAGGTGTACTTTGTTGGTATGAGTGGTACCTATCAAATATTTTTAAACTTTCCTACTCTGGGTATTACAATCATCCCCCGTTAGACTCGCGATATCCTCATCGCGCTTGATCCATCTGAGGATCCATTGCCACGTTGGGATTCTAGAGGTTGCTCCTACGGGTTCAAGAGGTGGC